GAAAGACTACCTATAGAAATACATTGCTTTTAAAATCGTGCTGTGCAACACGAAAAAAAGGGGGAAATCGTGTTGCAGAACACGAATCAATAGATTAAAAATCGTATTGGTACACACGAAATGCCGTGAGACTGGGTTGCCCCCAAAGTGTTGTACCATTACTTTAACCATAAAACTGTTATGTAAAGACAAAATCCTACTAGTTTCTACGTTCCAAACCATCTTCTGTTCTGCAGATATATTCTGTGTCCCTGCTTGATTTAGTCTCGGTGATAAGTAGAGAGGTGATCATCCGGCCACGTCCCTTCCTCTCTTTCTCTGCCTTTGTCTATTTCTGTGTGTTTGTTCCAAGCAGGGCCGGGGCCCTGACCGTCCGGAGGACCCCTGAGCCTTGACAGAGAGGAGGGGGGGAGGCAAGGAAGAGGATAGAGAGAGAGAGAGATAGGGAGGCCAGAAGAGAGGAGGGGGAGATTATGGGAACGGAAGGAGGCTAGAGAGGTGGGAGGATCAGCCCTGGACGAGGAGGACGAGGAGGGGGGAGGTGGGAATGGGTCAACATATTGATATTGTGCATCTCTGCCTCTGTTGGTGTATGGCTAAACCGTTGCATTCTTTCATTTGATGGCCTTCCATAAAGGCAGCAGGGGAAGTGATTCGGTGCTGTTTGTGTTATTCTCTTTGCAGTATTTTAAGGCTGGCCTGACACATTTACGGTGTCCTGTGTTATTTTTCCTACATCATTTACTGTTTTGTTTTCCACCAATGGCTCAATCCGGGAAACACCGCTGGAAAATCTAAGAGGTCCTCTGCATTTACAGTCCCAGCAGCAGCAGATTAGCCACTTAATATTCCCCTGGGGTTAACATTAAAAGCTGTGAAGCTGAGATGGTTGTCTAATTTGAAACATGTCACCTAAGGACAGTAAGAAAAAGTATTGTTTTCTTGAAAGGTTACTAATGGACACTATTGATACTTAGCAAATGCTTTATTTGATCTTGAACTTGAAAAATTGACTGTCATATGCCAAAAAATAATTGTGATTTATCCACAGTTCTTATGAAAAATGACAGTGTTGAGACTACAACATATTTATTAAAGCTGATATAAACATTATTCTTTCTCAAATTGTCAATTTGACTTAATGAAATAGTTGACATCTCACTTTAAAATACAGCTCTTCACTCATTAGAAAATGATCATTTCATAAATAAGGAAATGATTCATCTTCAAAAGTCAACAGATGCCATGTGGTCAGTACAGTGCAGGGTAACAAATGGAAACGACTCCCTCTCTGAGCTCATCTCTCTGGTCAGTGATCTTTTTCCTCTTTCTTCACTTTTCTTTCTCTGGATGTTCTTTGTGTATATCTATGCCCAAATAAAAACTGTAAATACAAGGATACAGCTTTTTAAAACAACTTGTACACTGCTCCTTTTATTGACCTTTCTTTTTTCCCTATCGTCCCTCTTTCTGCACATTATTTTCCTCCTTCCTCTCTCCCCCCTCAGCCGTCCCCCCTGAGGCTCTGCAGTTTTCTTCAATCACAGCAAACTAAATGGAAACACATGAAAGCTAATTTACTCACAGATTCCCAGAATTCCTGGCTGTGAGGTCACTCAGTTGTGCTCATGACTTTCACTGCTCGGAAATGGAAATCCGACCCCGCGCTCTGCAGGAACCTGTGGGCTGGATGTGGGTCAGCACCAACCAGGCTGCAGACAGTATGATATCATCATCCTTCCAAGGGCCATCCCCATGTTGCACCTCAGAATATACTGTATTTCAATCTTGCAAGAAATTCTAAAAATCTTACCATCAGTGGGTCCATCATTACAGCCATGTTTTGTCTTGACTAACACTGTTCACATTTTGAGATCTTTGTTATTTTATAATCAAGATCTAAATGTTGAAGCGTGAAATTAGGTCTGAAATAAGATGAGATAAGATGAACCTTTATTGCTCCTTGTAGGGAAATTCAGGTGTTATAGAATTAACTATAACTATTGTATTAACAGTATGAACCACAAAAATAACACGAGTTAAACTCTGATAAGTTAAATATGGGAATTTATAATGTACTAACACGTTGTTATATAAAATGTGACATTTTAAATTATGTATAGCTTCAGTGAAGTACAGTGTTTTAAATTGTTTTATTAAGTAAGTCAACTTTCTGTGAAGCAGATTGGAAGTGAGTCATCAGAGTGTTGCTCAATGTTGACTCACTATTGTGAAATCTGTGAGACCACATTCAGGACTAATGAATTCCACCTGGCTGAGGGAGCCTGTTGCATAATGACTCACAATGACAAGGGACACACTGGCTCTGTCTGCCAGGGTCGGTTTGCAGGACCGACATGGTGCCATGTTACAAAGAGCGCACAAATGATCTCTTCCCTTCTTTCTGTAAATACATCCGATAGATGATGTAAATAGCCAAACTGAAAGAAGATGCTGTCCTCCCCCTTTCTTCTTTCGCTTCTTACACAACCTTCTTGGGGTTAAACTCTGTCAGAGAATACACACACGCCTCCACCTCCCCAACGTTGTCCCTCAGGGCTGGACAAACGCCAACCGCTCTGGGGGTCTCAGCAGGGGGGGACACCTGGGGGGCTGGAGCTCTGCCATGGGGCCTGGAGAGAGAGATCCTTCTCTCATGTGGACCCACCCCGTGCTGCACTGATTACATCTTGATTTACTTAGGTGATGTCATATCTGTGTGTGTGCGTGCGTGCGTGCGTGCGTGCGTGCGTGCGTGTGTGTGTGTGTGTGTGTGTGTGTGTGTGTGTGTGTGTGTGTGTGTGTGTGTGGTACACTTCAGTTCCATGCTGTCTGATATAACCTCATCTTTCAGTGATTCTATGAACTTCTCTTCTTATCTGGTTTACACATTCCATTCTGCTTCAAACACTTACAGACTGAGAGTGATACTGTGAGCTAGAGAGAGAAAGAGTGTGTGTTCTCTTTATGTTAGTCCTGTTTTAAGTAAAAGATCAGAATGGTTCTCCTACCACAGCTGTGTGTGTGTGTGTGTGTGTGTGTGTGTGTGTGTGTGTGTGTGTGTGTGTGTGTGTGTGTGTGTGTTGCTCTCACAATAAAGTTGTTTTTCATACACAAGAGTTTTGACGTTTCCAGGCTTGCTCTCTTCAGTGCTTGGAGGAATAAAGTTACATGAAATGAAAAAAGTATTGTAGAGTACAAGATCTCCAAATGTGTCCGTCCTGAGTAAATGTGGGCTACTTGGTTCCATGACACATGACTGACATGATGTGCTGTCTGTTCCTGATAAAGACCATAAACTGTGTTGCTCTTACAATAAATAAAGTTGCTCATGAAACCAAAGTGTTGCTGCAGTTTGACCTCTTCTAGCTCTTTCCCTTCTTCATGCATTTTGGGAGCGAAGTGGAGCCAGAAACCCTAAACCCTAAAAGTAACATCTCATGTTTTTTCACATGTTGCAGTGTTATTGTAAGATGCTGCTTCAGCGGAAAAGACGCCTGTGTTTGCTGACGGGCACAAAGCACTCACCAGTGGATGAGAGAAGAGGGACTGGCTGGCTTTAATTTGCCTTGCAGGCGTCCTGCAGGAGCCGTAAACAAGATGCATCTGCACTCTCCATTTGTTCAATCCTCATTACTCACTGCAATTAAGCTCAGTGCCAACCCTGAGGAGAGAGCCTCTGTACGTTCTGCTCCAGCAGGTCTCCACTGAGCCAGCAGTAGGAATTATAAGGCCCATTTAAGTGTCTAGTTATTCCCCATAATGCAGAGACTTTATGACTCTGTGGAGAAAACAAGATTTGTTTCATTGACCCAGATACTGCTGCTGTAGCAACCAGGCTACATAGTTCCTTTATTGGTGATTTGAACCAGTGCAATGTTTTAGCCCCTTCATGCTACATATCAATATTAAATAAACACATATTTAAGGAATGGAATAAAATCAATACAAAAGATTTAACTAGTTAATTTCAAACATTTTCTTATAGACTTTTTGTAGTGGTGAGGTTAGTGCAATAACTTTTTATTTAATTTAGATCTTCATCAAATTTGTATCTTGTTGGTCGAACGCACTTATTGTAAATCGCTTTGGATAAAAGCGTCAGCTAAATGCAATGTAATGTAATAATAGCCGTAATTAGGTTTTGAAAGCTGCAGTTGCCAACTAAACATTTTATATTGAAATATTATTCAATTTAAAATAACCTAAGGAACGAAAAAGACAGGACAGGTTTCAACTATTTTTATATATCTTTACTATAAGCCTGACATATTTCCTGACCCTACACTTTCTGCTTGGCAGAGTTTTTTGTTGGCGGATCAATAAAGATTCTTTAATTTGGAGAGAGAGGTGTTGATGCTCTGCTCTGTTGCACTTTTTGTTTAAGCCTCATAAAGCAGCTATAAAAAGCATTAAAAGAACCCTGCAAAGCTGCCGTTTCCAATACAGCCTGACAATTATGTATTTATTCTAAAGTAATCTGCATGATTGATGATTCTTTGAACAAATGGTTGTCCATATGAACAATAAACAGAGCCTGCTGGGAGACCTGTAGGGTCAATAGTAGAGCAGCCTGAGGAACAGCAAGATTAAAATGCTCGAACATGTAGCCAATTCATTTGCGATAAAAACGGAATAATACTATATTAATTAGTAATACAACCCAGAGTTTTTGCATTATGGGTAGTTTTTGAATCTTCAAGTAGCCTGCAGTTTTACACTAGAGTACGTTTGTGGTAATAAAGCTATATTGTAGGATGTGTACGTGTAGGCTAACAACAACACTATTGTATAAACATTTGATGAGTAAATTATTACTCCTTCCAACAATGTATTTAAGACACCAATTAATGTATGTTTTATTCTTTATTTCCATTTCTTGGGATACATTGTTTGTTTCTGTTAGATGACTGAGAACTCATAACAAGCCACAGCATCTTATTTTGAAACTCCTAACCGGATGTTGACCGTGCTCGTATTTGAGTGGCTACTCTCCTGTGTGTCAGCTATCTTCTATCTATATGGCGCTGCTGTGTGTGAGTAGTGGATCCCTGTTGAACTTTCTCCGTGCAGAGCACCAGAGCAGTAATACCCGGCGGTAATTGGCTTATCCGCCCGGCTGAACGCTGTGTCGGTTGATTGTAAAACTGAACTCCGGGGATTTTATTCCCGCAGGAAAGACGGAGCGAAGCTTCCCTCTTAAGGTAAATGTGAATATCAGTTTATTCTTCGGGCTTTTTGTGGTATTTTCTCCCTGGGTGTAAACGTGGTGAGGGTTCGGTCGTTGGCAGCTGCCTACCTGTTGAATAGACCTACTGCTTTCTATTATGTGAAAAACAAAAAGAGGGAAAACTGACCAGTCTAACTTTTTATCTGTAAACATAATGGTTCCACTGCGCGTGACACTCCCTTTGGTTTCAACATGTGGAGAGAAACATCCAAACATGCTCACTATATACACCTTTTACAGACGTCGCCACCAGCTGGGTTTTAGCCAAATAGTATCATCTGGTGAAGCACTGTAGCAGGATCATGATTTTTCTCTTGGTGCTCTGATGTGGGACAGTGTAGGATTCATTCAGCCATCCGATGAGCCTTGAAAGGATCAACATCAATAAATGATCTAAATTCTCATGAGCGTTTAACAGTCCAACAAATCTAATCAGTGATGAAGGAAATAATACACGTTTTGGAAACGCACCCAGTGACTCACACTACCTGCAGATCTCCAGGAATAAACTCGTCCTGGGGCTAAACCCAGAGCAGGTCACAGCAGCGGGCAGGCCGCATGAGTCCTGCTGTCTGACAGGGAGAGAGACACAGAGAGGTCCAGCTGCACACTGGGACAGTTTGATCTAAAGGAGGACATATCCACAGCTCCAGGTGCATCATGGTTATTAGCGGACAGAGGTTTGTGGGAGTCACATTTATTAAAGCCTGTGAGAAAAGGCATTTTAGAGTGGAAGTGGCTTTGCTTTTTCTGGATTAGACTATGAGACAGATTTGTTCCACTCGCACCGATCACTCACCCGGAGAGGAAGTCTCCAGGACAGAGGGCTGATCTCAGCTGCAGTTACATAACCGAGGGAAAGACAATTCAAACATGTTTTATTTCACATCTGTGCGTTTCTGTAGTGGCTACACCTTTTTTTTTTAAATGTTTGTTATTACTGGTTAAACTGTTCTAATGAAGCTCGGAGAGAAACAGAGACAGGGGGAGAGATTTGATCTCAAACCCGGTGTTTTTAACGCCGAGAGATGAATCAGAGCTTCTGATAACTCAATCATACATTTCATCAACAGTGTTCTACATGAACACAGTGGCGGCGCCAGAGATTTTCTCTAGGGGATGCTGTGGGGTAGCTTGATGTTTCATAGAGGGTGCTCAAACTTTAAGGGTTTCCCATTAATGCACCTGCGCTACAGTTGAATTTTCTACTGCAACTCATACTTGTCAACCCTCCCGATTTTCGTGGGAGACTCCCGATTTCAATGCCCTCTCCCGGTTTCCTCCCGGGGTCATATTTCTCCCGCATTTCTCCCGATTTCTGACAAAATCAGATTTACTCAGGACTGTTTCCACTCGGACTTTAATACAGCTACACCATTGTTTGGTTTCCATGGTAACACGTCTCTTTAGTAGCGCGCGCAACTGAAAGTCTGAGAGGGTGAGGCAAATAGTCACAGAAAACAGAACAAAAATCGACAACTACTCTACTCTCTGCTCACTCCTTTCCTGCCCACACATATGCTCCATCAAGGATGGTGCTACAGTCCGCAAGGCATTGCACTTAGAATTACAATATAAGCATGTTAATGTTAATCTAACAGCTCCGGCGATCCACTAGCACCCCTCACCTAACAGGAAGTCACTCAAGTGTCACAAAGTAATTTAGCCTATGGGTAGGTCAAAAATCTAATGGGTGCTGGCCATTGGCCTAATCACCTGTGTTGGCTTTATGTTTTTGGTCAAACATTTGTTTGTTTCACATTTGCATTGATGTAATCAATAATTTTTCTAATTTAATAAAAAAAAAAAAAAAAAAATTCAAAAACAAAACATATATTTCTTGGGGGTGCTTTGGCAATCCTGGGGGGTGCTTCAGCACCCCCTAGCTCCCCCCTGGCGCCGCCCCTGCATGAACATGAACTTATTCTCAGATATTGTGCAGTTCTTAACTGTTTTTATTTGAATAATATATAGATCAAACCAAATCGGGATGAGTTTGATTGAAGATGAAATCAGCTTAACTTTTTTTTGGTAAAAACAAACGGATTAGCAGACAAGCAAAAGGCGTGTTGTCAACAGTCTCCTGCTGTAAGTAATTACGCATGACGCAGGAGAGGATCACAACAATGAGAGGAGCGGCATGCTCCGTCTAGTGTCTGTCCNGTCGTGCCTTGGCAGTCTCAGTCCAGCATGATCTGGCACCTGCCCACAGTGCCAAAACCACCAGTAACTGGTGTACTGACCATGGCATTACTGTCCTCGATTGGCCTGCAAATTCCCCTGACCTGAACCCCATAGAGAATATGTGGGGTATTGTGAAGAAGAAGCTGAAAGACACCAGACCCAACAATGCTAATGAGCTAAAGGCCGCTATTGAAGCATCCTGGGCATCCATAACACCTCAGCAATGCCACAGGCTGATTGCCTCCATGCCACGCCGCATTGATGCAGTAATCCGTGCAAAAGGATTCCCAACCAAGTACTGAGTGCATTAATGGACATTTTCAAATGTTTGATTGTGTTTTGCTGTTATAAATTTTTTTTTTTTACTTGGTCTGAGGAACTATTCTAATTTTTTGAGATAGGATTTTTGAGTTTTCTTAAGCTGTATGCCATAATCAGCAATATTAAAATAATAAAAGGCTTGCAATATTTCAGTTGATTTGTAATGAATCCAGAATGTATGACATTTTTGTTTTTTTAATTGCATTACAGAAAATAAAGAACTTTATCACAATATTCTAATTTTCTGAGACAGTCCTGTATAACTGTTTCATGTTCAAACAATGGTGAGCATTCATCAAGTAACACATGAAAATGCATTCACACTTCATTCTACAACAATTGTGTCAGAGTTGTATAAGAATACAAATACATACAATTATTTTATGAAATTTAGTCAAAACATTCCTCAAGACAAAATGCTTCCTCCTTCTACAAAAAGAAAGACATTGTACTTGTTTAGTAATATTGTATTTGGGAAAACATGATGTGTACAGAGACATGACTACAACACAAATGTAGGTCATTTCCCCCCCATACACCTCCCACCCAGACCTCAGGAAAAGTGTTTTAAACGTTTTTTCTCCATCATCATCAAACATCTAGCTCTCTTGTTGTGAGGGAAAGGACTGCACATTTCAAATGTCAAACCTCTGAACATCAGCACTTGTTTTTGTCTGAAGGGTTAAACACCAAAGGAATGTTTGAGATGGTGATGGGATCATAAGATCACAGAGCCCTCAGGCGAGACCTAACCCATGGCATCCCATAATTCACGGTGTTTGTCTCAGGAAAGAGACTTTGAGATGTATCACTGATAACAGGCGAGTTGTTGCAGAGGCCCAAACCTTTTAAAAGCAACGATTTCCATGCAGTCATTTGCGTTTCCACTAACTGAGCGGAGGGCTCCTCTGGGAATGCGTGACCAATGTTCTGCCTGGTCTGACTCACTGTAGGCCTGGAGTCACACACTCTGGGGCGGTAGAGCCCTCTCAGCAAACACTCCGGAGGGTTTTCCGTCATATGTCTTCACTGAAAGGGAGGTTGTAAATCTGGCCCCGCCTTCATTCCTCCTCTTCCCCAGACCCTGCTCCTCCCTTCCCCTTCGTCCCATCCGTCTCCCCTTCGCCTTTCCTTCCTCTCTTCATCAATCTGACACATTTTTTTCTTGTTTCTCCTCAGATCTCTAGCATTTTCATATCACACTCCTGAAGTTTCTGAAGAGCTCAGCAGGCTGGCCGACAGCAGACCACCAGGACCCTTCAGTCTGAGGAGGGATAAAGACAGGAGTGTGTGTTTTCAAGTGAAGTGGCCCCTGTGTTTGCTGGATATGGCTTTTCTGTGTTTGAGAGAAAGACACTGGGACCAGATCTGAGGTCAAGACCTTCCGCCTCCTCCCCTCCCCCCCGGAGTCACATGACAGCGCGAGGCACAACCCGGGGTTGCTATTGCTACCGACTGAAATATTTGTATACTCGCTTGGAAAAGCAACACAGACAGGATCTCTCATTGGGAGGGGAACGAGCCAGAGGAGCTTCAAAGTGAGTTTGCTTTGTAAGCTGTTCATTTACCCCCCCCCCCCCNCCCTTCTCTCTATCCACATACACAGTGTTCCCATCCTCTCAGATAAAGAGACGTTTTCCCTGAATCACCTCAAATCGACCAAAATGCCAGCAAAGACACCAATGTACTTAAAAACTACAACTCCCAAGAAGGGTAAGAGGCTGAGGCTCCGGGATGTGCTCTCAGGGGACATGATCAGCCCCCCGCTGGGCGACGTGCGTCACAGCGCACACGTGGGGCCGGAAGGTGAGGGCGACATGTTTGGAGACGTGGGCTTCCTGCAGGGGAAGATGGGCATGCTGTCGGGGCTGAGCGGGGGGCCGGACGGGCGGTCCCACAGCGTGGAGCAGCGCCTGGACCACGGCCCGGACCCCCACAGCTACGCCTACAACGGCTTCCACTACCAGCACTCCTCCAGCGGCCTGCTGAAGACCACCATCTCCATGCCCGTGTTCATCGCCCACGAGCAGGCCCCACCCAAGCCCCCACGCCTCCACCTCGACGACCCCTCCCCTCCTTCCCAACAGAACCACTTCCACCCCCACCAGACCCCCACAGACTCCAGCCACAGACAGGCTAACGGCCACAGCCGCTCGGACAGCCGCAGCCAGATGTTTGAGAACAGGTTGGTGGACCGCTGCAGAGACGTCTCCCTCCCCCCTGCCGTCCGCCGGCTCGTCCCCTCCTCCGGGTCCTTCTCGGAGGCCTCCTCTGAGGACTCCATGTCAGAGACCTGCGGGCCCCTGGACAGTCGCCGGGGCCTCAGCCTGGACTTTGATGCCAGCCTGAGCAATGAGGACCTGAGGAGTGAGCGCAGTGACTCGCCCAGCCCCCCCTGCCGCCCGGCCCCTCTCACAGTCTCAGGGGGGGTGTCCAGGTCAGACTCTCTGATGGGGTTGAATCTGGATCTGGGCCCCTCTATCATGGAGGATGTCCTGAGCATCATGGACCGCTACAAGACTGAGGACAACCGCTGTGAGCTGTGAACACTCTGTGTGCAGATACATAAATCCTGAAAGACTTCATAAAGATGCAAACAAAGGAGACTGGATGGAGGGTTGAGAGAAGACTGCTTAAGGGTTACTGAAAGATTGAAAGGGGAAACATTTAGAAAAACAGTGCTTTTGAACATGTATCTGGGTATATGGAGTGCCTGCCATCCCACAAACTGAAGTATTGAAACCCGGTCTGTGTTTTGTATGGGTTGTCCATCAGAAAACATGGGATTAAACAGTCTATTCAGATGTGTCCCCCTCTTCTCATGTCACATGCAGGCTCACTGCACTTCTCGGGAGGGGGGCTAAAGCGCTACAACGGAGCGTTTCAGACAGTGTGAATACAGGTTTATTCAGACAGGCAGTATGAGAACAATGATGTGTTTTGTGAACATTAAAGCTTGTAACTATGTTTTAGTAGAGACCCAATGTATGAGCCTGAAAGTGAGCATATGTCCTCTTTGATAAAGGTGAGAAGCAGGTGGACTTTGTTGTGTTGGGATGTTTCTGCCCGATGGACAAAAGACAAGGCAGAAGGCTGGTCCTTAAGAGCCTTTAACAAAGCTGAAACTCCTAACCATTCACATTTGAAGATAATAGTCCACTTCTATCTCAAACACATTCTGTGGATGGAATACTGTCTATTCCTCTGATTAATGCTGAGCATGTTCTGCTTGGTAATGGTTAACAAATTGCTGACTGAGTAGATGTGGAGAGACGGGAGGACGAATCAGCAGCTGAGGACAAAACTCAGGACTCATCCACAGCCACTAATGTCTTACAACTACAGATGCTCAAATAACACATTTAAAGTCATACTAAGCTGAACTGCAAACATCATTATGCTCTATCCATATTCTTTCCTTATTCATCTTGGCTGCCTGTTTCAGAATCATTCCTATTGATATCTTTACTGGTTTACTGTAATGCTTCAATGCCAGAAGAAATGTGAAGAACTTCTGATTTGACTCTCCTCTTGTAAAAGATGAAGATGTAAGTTCAAATGGTTTCTAAAGTGACATCTGAGAACAGCAGCACTAACATTTCTTTCTTTCTCTTGATCAGAGGGAAACAGCGTGTTATTGTAGTTCAACTCATCAAATGTTATTCTGCTGCTTTTAGACCTTTTCTAACCTTGGTCTTTCAAAACACTCCTCCTCCACGTTGTGGCTCCCTGTCGGCCTCCAGCACCACCATCTGGATATCACAGTATTACTCACATGTCATTTATGCTGTATATATCTATATGACTGTAAATGTAAGAATACATTGTTATATACTGAGGATTCATGGACAATTATTTTCCCACAACCACAAACACAGACCTTATTGTGCCTGATAGAGGTGGGAAGTAAGTAGATTTACTCACTATACTTAACTAGCTGCACCTTTACCAGCTTTGAGAACACTTTCATGATCAATCATTATAAAACATATCATATATATTATTCTGAAATAGACCAATCTGCACAAAGACTACTTTTACTGTCGCTACTTTCACTATATTTTGATGAGAATACTTTTCTACTTTTAATTGAGGAACATTTTGAAAGCAGGACTTTTACTGTAACAGTATTCCTACACTTTGGTACTTAAGTACAAGTTCTGAGTAGTTCTCCCACCTCTGTCTCCTGATAATAATCGATAATTGATTTAAATTTAAAACAGTATTTTGTTTCTTCATTGTGAAAACAATGGTTGGCAGCCACTCCCTTTATTCTATATTTGTAAAGTGTACTAGAGAAGTGTAACCAAGTACTCTGAAATTCTTAGGTAATTGTACTTAAGGCTATATTTCCATCCAAATGCTTTTGTACAACATTTGAGTACTTTAAGCTTCTAAATTATTGTAGAGGTGGTCATAGTTATGAAGACGTTATTTAAAAGCACCAGGGTCAGTGTGAGCCACACTCCCTTGGTCAAACATGCACTTTGGCCTGAATGTGAAGATGATAGCAGGTCATTGGGTGGGTCTGAAGTCATGCACAACTAAGGATGAAGACAACAAAAAACGACATGAAATATCACACGTATTTCTGTTCTGGATTGATCCTGCCAAAGGTTTGCTGCATACATTTCAAATGATCTGAATAAATACAAATCAGTGTGGTGATGTGCACTATGTGAAAATAAATGCACACTTCAAAATTAAAATAATTAAAACAAGATTTTGACACAGCATGGGTGTTAATGGCACTCTGTTAGCTTTAGTTTAAAAAAAGTCCCAATGATAACACCACATGCTACTTTATCAATCCTCACTTGAAAGTAACGTTTGATTTTCCAAGTGTTTTATCCAAAAGTGTTAGAAACATTTATCATTTATTCTGCTGCTTTGCAAATGGAATGCAGCATCAGTTCCTCCCTGCAATTGCAATAACAAATATAACACAAATATCAGTATCATTATTTTGCCACAGAAACATGTGATGCTGTAGTAGGTTCTAAGTAGAGATCTAGCCATTTTGATATCTGATTCCTTTCGCATTTCTTCAGTTGGTTAATTTATTTCAAAACCACAAAAAATGCTACATTTACTTTAATGTCTCTGATGACAATGCTTTTATATTTAATAAGATGTAGTTTTCGACCTTGACCGCTAGAGGGGGTTTATCCTCCTCTCCACCATGGATAAGCGTATCCAAATAATATCCACTCATGATCACCTTTCGTATTTCGGTCGGACGTTGCCCCCCAGTGGCGATAGTGTGAAACTGCACAGGTAAATTAGTAAAGCTAGCGTACCATGGATGTAGAATAAGAACAGCTTCTACCACTTCAGGCGAACCCTTTCAAAATACAGTGACGCACGCGTTTAGAAATGAACAGAAATAAACATGAAATAATCGTGTTAGTTGTCCAATACAGGTCAGCTGCCATGAGCTTTAGATATATATTTTACTCTTATCAAGGAACATTAGCAAAAATAGGTTAACAGCAAAAACATGACTTAATACAGAGCAAAAATAAATTATACATTAATTATCAACAATAGTCAATACTTAAATTAAAATAAAATCATTTTTGTGATGTAAAAATATACATATTTGCAAGCCAAGTAGTGCAAAATGCAAGAAAATGCCAATAAAACAATAAAGTAAAAGCATGTCAAAATATTAATGAGTCCAGGTGAGGAGTTACTTGTCATGGTAAACTTTAACTGCACAAATAATAAAGTCATCTATTCAGCAACCAGTGGTCGTATGGTAGGGTTCATTTTTAAACCCCGGTTAAAACTGCCAGAAAGAACAAGAACACCGGAAGAAGAATAGTTTGCATCCGGTTTGCTTCGGCCCATCACAGCCATCATTTGTTGTTTTTAAAGTTATACATGAGAATTTCAAAACAGCCATAGTGACTGAAGAGAAGAGGCTTATACACGCTTTACAAACATGAAGTGAGTGTTTATTAGGACTGAAAAGAAACACATTCCTGCAAGACTGTTCGGGCTAGCTTGATAGCATCAAGTTAGACTATACCTAGCTAAATTGTCTGACATAATTTAGCTAAGTGAACACAACGCATGGCACTCACAGGTGCAGTGTTTTCAGGTTATCATATCAAAGTTGGCCTGGTATGTTTGTGTAATCGGCAATACATTTTAGAGCTAACGTCCATGTTAGCTTAGCTTCATACACATGTCTAGTTATAACCTTGTAGCTGCTTTACTGAGCTTTACATATCCAGATGTGTGTGTCTCTGCTCTGAGTCTTCAGCATGTTCTTCTCTATTGTTTGATTCCAGGCTCAACATCGATGGTCTGTTGGTGTATTTTCCATATGACTACATATATCCTGAGCAGTACTCTTACATGCTGGAGCTGAAGAGGACTTTGGATGCTAAGGTGGGTGCTGCTGTTGGGTTATTCTACAGTACATTCAATGGGATGATTGACATTGTAGCTGTGCGCGCGGGCAAGTGCAATATACACACATATGAGAAAACATCGCCAAGTTAACAATGATAGCATGTAGTTTACATATAGGTTGTGACACAAATAGTATCTTTAATGTCACAGTGTTGCAACATAACACATTTAATGAAATACTGTAATACATATGACAGCTTGAGTCTCTTTTCAGATTTACTGTAGAGCTGTTTTTCTAAAAAAGGATTTTTAGAGATACGTGGTTCTCAAAGAATAGCGACACTTCAAACTAAAGTGATTTTATAGAATAGGACATATTACTGTAGGTTCAACTGCCCAACAGTATTTAAAGGAGTTCAACTAAGCCCAACCTTTTGATTTGACAGTGGTAAAATGCAACAATATCATTCATTCGGCAGTGATATGAATTGTGGCGTGTGGTGCAGTGGGTTGAGCGATGGTGTTCGGATCAGGGGGTCACAGGTTCAGACCCCACTGCAGTCAGCATGTCGTTGTGTCCCTGAGACACTTCACCTCAAATTGCTCCTGTGGGGATTTCCCACAGTATTGAGTATGTAAGTCGCTTTGGATACAAGTGACTTGTAATGTAATGTAATATAATCAAGCATCAACATCAAAGTAAAGCAGAACATTCTACTACACAATAAACACTTTCTCTTTTCTCACATTTAGTACATTTTGCTAATAACAGCTGCATGCTTGGTAAGGTTTTGAATTGAGGACTTTAACTTGTAATTAAGCATTTTAACAATTTTGTATTATTACTTTCCTCACGTAAATGATCTAAATACATCCTGCACCACTTGTGTAACTACTATAGATCAAATATGCAAAACGAGGGGTACACAGTTTGTCTTTCAGCGATTGATGGAGCTTGTGTAAAGGGTGGAGTTGCAATAGTTGTCAGTGAGGGATTGTTTTCTACGACATCATTCAGAGGAAAGTTACATAGAGTGTTCGCTTTGTCTGTTTGTTTGTCATCCCATGCTCTTTATGTTCAGGGTCATGGAGTCCTGGAGATGCCTTCAGGGACAGGGAAGACTATCTCTCTGCTGTCTCTCATTGTTGCCTACCAAAAGGTGAGTTTAGCTGTGTTCAAGTGACTTCCTGTGCTCCACTCTTCCTTCCCAGCAGCCAGTGCCACATGAACAGAATGATATATGTTACTTTCTCTCTCTCAGGCCTTTCCTTTGGAAGTGACCAAGCTGATATACTGCTCCAGGACTGTTCCAGAGATTGAAAAGGTGAGTCAATGTCCAAAGAAAATCACACATCAGAAAGTCAAATTGATATTTCCAAGGATATGTTGAAGTTTAATCCCAGCAACAACAATTTGTCTTGTCCTACCCCTTTGAAATCAAACAGTAAAAAAACATGAAAAACACTATTGGCAAGATGTTAAAAACAGAACTTGTATTGTATATTTGATCTGCTGTCTCTTCAGGTCGTGGAGGAGCTGCGGAAGTTGATGGAGTATTATTCCAAGCAAACTGGTGAAAGCAACAACTTCCTGGCTCTGGCCCTCTCCTCCAGAAAGAACCTGTGTATCCACCCTGAGGTAACAGCTGCTGCTCCGGACACGGGCCATTCCCCTCACAAAGAGAGGAAGCACAAAGAAATGTTCAAAACTCTTTAAAGATTTAGTTTAGTTTTTCTCCCTTGAAATATTGGCATTCCAGTGATTTTCCAGTGTTTCAAGGGACAATCAATGTTGTTGGAATCATATCAAAATGCGTGTTGTTCAGTATAGGGTTACAAGATGCATTCTTGAGGTTTGACCTTTACTGGGAATCATTTGAGTGATTGGACCTCAGCTCATATGCCAATAATTGCCGTGTCTGCTTCTATCCAGGTGAGTGCTCTGCGCTTCGGCAAAGAGGTTGATGGGAAGTGCCACACCCTGACAGCCTCGTATATCCGTGCCCAACGCCACAGCGACTCCAGCGTGCCTGTGTGCCGCTTCTACGAGGTAAAAATTCACCGGATCCACCCAGTTTAGACCAGCTGGTATTTTTGAACTAAAGTGGAAGTAAACGAGGCAGGTTAATGTTGATGTACAAAATCATAAATGACACCCCTCTCCTCCTGCTGTGTGCAGGACTTTGATGCCGTCGGCCGACAGGTGCCTCTTCCTGCAGGCATCTACAACCTGGACGACCTGAAGGACTTTGGGAGGAGGAAAGGATGGTGTCCTTATTATCTGGCACGCTACTCGGTATATTGCACTTCAAAATTCTGAAAACAGGAAACATGTATTGTTGTATGAAAAAGGAAAGCCATTACCAATGGGTTTGATAGGGGACTAAGCGACTATCCAACGAGCAAATAGTTTTCATTGAATGTTTCTTTTATTGATAACCCCTGTTGTGCACATTTAAGATGCTTAGAAACCCACTGGCTTAAAATAAAGTGTCGGATGTTTCTCTCCAGCAATGTTTGCTGACTGCTGTTGACACACTTATCTGCAAAGAATCTGTCACAGTTACTCTGTACTGAAGTAACCCATATCTGTTTCCTCTCCCCTGACTGTGTCTCCTCTCAGCTCCTGCACGCTAACATCGTGGTGTACAGCTACCACTACCTGCTGGACCCGAAGATCGCTGACCTGGTGTCCAAAGAGCTGTCCAAGAACTCTGTGGTTGTGTTTGATGAGGCTCACAACATAGGTCAGTGTCACAGTCCCATTTCGAGCCATCCAATACATTTGTTCTGTAGCTGTAGTCTTAATCCGGCTCCTAAACTATTACAAATGAGAACATGGATGTATCAATTGAAGATATCTAATGTAATCATGTAAACAACCAAATAAATAAGATAAGCCATTATTGATTACAAGAGGGTTGTAGCATCATAAAGGTTCAAATGAGTACAGATAAAATGTTATCTACATACAACTAGAATTATAATAATGTCTAAGAGCATCTAAAGACAACGTTAGGAGGAAAAAGGCTTTCACCAGAAAAATATGTAATGTGATTATTAATGATACTTAGTGTTGTCTGTAGTGTTGGAACAATATATCATTTTATTGCAATAAACAAACACTTAGAATAAGGTGATTGGTGTATTTTCTTTATAATCACGAATATTCTCACATGAGTTATTTTGAAGCTTGTTATCATGCTATAGAGGTGGAAATAGTGCCTAATTAAAAAAAATGCTAAAATGTTATCCTAGAAAATAATAAATAGATAAATATTGACATTATACCATATTCAGTTGTTTGTGTGAATCTAGCAATATAATAGGGATTTAATATAGTTAACATGATAATATAACAATATTCCTCTTTCCTTTGCTCCTCAGACAATGTGTGCATAGACTCCATGAGTGTGAACATCTCCAGACGGACTCTGGACCGCTGCCAGGCCAATGTGGACACTTTGCAGAACACCATCCAGAAGTAAGACCCTGATGCAGTCGGCAGTGTAGTGACGCACTGACCTCATGGAGGGCGGCATCCACCGTCCTTCTACTGCCACCTTTCCTCATGTCGGAGTCTGCTAGTCCCCTCAGGAAACAACCATCTTTCTCAACTGTCATTTGGAGAGACGTCAGCCCACTTTCACAGCTCTTTGGCCCCTTTGTTGGCTTTTATCTCACAGAATGATTGTATGAATATGTATCACCTAAAAATATAATTTCTATCTATGGTTGTGTCCTTATGACTGAAAAACACAGATAATTACAAAGGTTCAAGGTTCTTTATTTAGTCGTACGAACATAGCTACAGTGTAGTTATGCCGATGAAACTCTTGTGTCACAGAGCCTTCCCGAAAGTGATGCCAGCAATAAAGCAGGTTTTAAATAGAAAGGTCCTAAAAGGCAATATCCTTCTGATAAATAAGGAACGTATACTTTTCCCCTGGTAATCAGAACTACAGGTAAAACAAATGCTAAGTATTTAATTTGAACCCTGCCCCTTTCTGTCTGACAGTATAAAGGAGACAGACGCTAATAAATTGAACATGGAGTACAGGCGGCTGGTGGAAGGGCTGAAAGAAGCCAATGTTGCCAGGGAAACGGACGTCTACCTCGCCAATCCTGTGTTACCAGATGAAATCCTACAAGGTAAAGCCTGATTTCGTTTTTGTTCTTCCTCCTTTCATTGCCCTAAATCTAGAAAAAACACAAAACTGAGTCTGTAAAAGGTTAACTGTTGGCTCCTGCCCTTTCTCTCTCTCTCTCCTTCTCTCTCTCTCTCTCCTTCTCTCTCTCTCCTTCTCTCTCTCTCTCTCTCTCTCTCTCTCTCTCTCTCTCAGAGGCCGTCCCTGGGTCTATCCGCACAGCAGAGCACTTTGTCCGTTTCCTAAAACGTTTTCTGGAGTATCTGAAGTCCCGTCTCAGGGTCCATCATGTGGTGCAGGAGAGCACCCCGCAGTTCCTCAAAGACATCTTCGACAAAGTCTGCATCGACCGCAAGCCCCTCAGGTCAGTGAAATTCCTTTCTTTGGCCAAACTTACCAAACACAGGCTCTGGACATCAGAACCAATCACTTTCATTCTCTAACATTTCCAAAGCAGTTTCCTCAGACCACACCTTGAATATTTCTTGTCTGCAGGTTCTGTGCAGAGCGGTTACAGTCGCTGCTCCGGACCCTGGAGATCGCAGACATCGCAGACTTCTCAGCTATTACTCTCATCTCCAACTTTGCTACCCTAGTCAGCACCTACAGCCAAGGTGCTCAAACACTTTACCTTGTGTTACTGAACATCACACTGTTATCAATATCACAGTGAAGTGATATTATGTTTCAACAAATGCTTTGTTTGCATTTCTCTCTCTCTTTCTGAAGGTTTCACCATCATCATTGAGCCCTTTGAAGACAGAACTCCCACCATCGCTAACCCCGTGCTGCACTTCAGGTGGGGAGAGTTCAATCATTATCGAAGTAATCCACTGATGATTGTGAAAATGGGTCAAATGTTGGTAGACTTTGTGTTTTGCTGTGAGCAGTTGGCCAAATTTTGAGAAATGTCAGAAACAAAGACCAAGAAGTTTCTTTTCTTTTTACAATTTGACACAACTGTAGTTTTATTTATATAATGTTGTTTCTCCTTCCTAGGAGAAGGATCCATATCAGTTCCTCTTCCTTCGGTTCTATTCTGTTTTTCAAGGAGATATGAATAGGTTGTACTGTATAGATTCTATAGCCTGTGTGAAATAGAATCAACAAGACTATTGCAGTTGGATGTCATCTTTAATAAGTTGATAACAGGTTACAGTGTGTAAACATGTGAGACGATGCAGCCCTAAATCTGATTGATAAACCTTGAAACATCAGGTTAACACGTGCTCTGTGTTCCTCCCAGCTGTATGGACCCGTCTATCGCCATCAAACCAGTGTTCCAGAGGTTTCAGTCGGTCATCATCACCTCTGGGGTGAGTTATACTCTGCTTTTATCTCTGCTCACTTTTTAGTCCTGTTTAGTCCCATCTCATTTTATTGTTCCTGAATACATTTCTTTTAATTACATTTTTTCCAAATATCACAGTTAGAGAATTATTGATTTTTTATTCACACTTAATATATATATTTGTATTATTATGACATGAAGTCTGTGTTCCCTACTTACTGTAGGTGTGCACGGATAAATGAATACTGCTCTCATATTGACTCTCCTCTCCTTCTGGTTGACCTCTCCAGACTCTCTCTCCTCTGGACATCTATCCCAAAATCCTCGACTTCCGCCCTGTTACCATGGCATCCTTCACCATGACACTGGCCAGGACCTGCCTCTGTCCTCTGGTGTGTAACTACAGTCAGACACACACAAAGACGCACTCACTTCTCTGGATTCTAAAATAAATTATGGAATTAGTCGAGGGTTGAGTTTGACAAATTGTGTCATAAAAAACCTTTAATCATATCATTTCCTATTGTATTACTGAATTTTCTTTCTTTTCTTCCTCTATTCTGTCTTCCCCAGATTGTTGGCAGGGGGAACGATCAGGTGGCCCTGAGCTCAAAGTTTGAGACCAGAGAAGACTTCGGTTGGTACTAGTATATAAAAGCACGTTGGCCCAAAAACAGCATCAAATTATATAATTTAACCAAAATAATACAATGTTATTCAGTGAAAACTGAAGCTAAAACAATATTTAATTTTAAAATGTTTGTACTAGCTGTGATTCGTAACTATGGCAACCTACTCCTTGAGATGTCTGCGGTCGTTCCCGATGGCATCGTGGCATTTTTCACCAGCTACGTCTACATGGAGAATATCGTGGCGTCGTGGTATGAACAGGTGTGGAGAAAAACAGCACGCACGCACGCACGCACGCACGCACGCACGCACGCACGCACGCACGCACGCACGCACGCACGCACGCACGCACGCACGCACGCACGCACACACACACACACACAGACAGATCTCTTTGTATAAAGAAGAGAGCACAGTGTCATCATCTGATTATGAAAAGACGTTTGTCTGCAGGGGATCCTGGAGAACATCCAGAGGAACAAGCTGATCTTCATCGAGACTCCGGACGCTGCAGAGACCAGCATGGCTCTGGAAAAATACCAGGAGGTCAGACACGCTAACCTCTTACCTATTATTGTTATTATTATTATATAAACCACAGCTACCTGTATTTGAGGGATAAAAAAACATGTAATGTTGCTAAAATGCTAATAGATAATCAATGTGGTGATTTATACTATTTCCCATTAGCAGTGTAAAGAAAGAATAAAAGCAAACTCATGATAATGTTTCATCTTCTGTGCAGGCCTGTGAGAACGGCAGAGGAGCCATCCTGCTGTCTGTGGCCAGAGGAAAGGTGTCTGAGGGAATAGACTTTGGTATGCTACAGATTTCTTTGTGGTTACAAAAGTGATAAAGATTTAGTAATGCACCTTACGCTTGGTTTATCTCAGTTTGTGGATTTAAGTATTTCCAACATTGTAACTATAACTCCTGTTCTGTCTCCTGTTCAGTGCACCATTTTGGGCGTGCAGTCATCATGTTCGGGGTGCCGTATGTTTACACACAGAGCCGCATCCTGAAGGTCAGAACTGTCTCTACGACCAATGAACATCCAACACACACTGTCAGCATACACTCTGTTGCTTAGGTGTATCACCTCTATAATCCAGTGATGCAAACACAGGTATGGTGAAAAAAGAGAGAACTATCCGAAGCAGAAAGAAACAGCGTAATATACCATCTGACAAAGGCCTGTGCTATAATGCTTCAATTAACTGGCTATTATTTATAATATACTCAGATCAATAGGAGACAGATATTTTAAGTTATAAATCAAGGGTTTTTATTATTATTTACAGCAGGGGTGGGGAACCTTTTTCCTTTCAATTTTTACAACATCCTCCGAGGTCCCTACAAATTGTTGAACTCAACCTCTGCTTAAAAAAACTAAAATCACAGACAATTCATTTCGCCTTTCTTTCATGATGTGCAAAGAAAACGCAACCTCTTAATCCAGATATCTTACCGTGACTCGCGCATGCATGCATGTGCACGGTGTGGCATGACCACCAAAACCGAAAGATATGGACACAAGATGTGTGCAAATGTACTTAGTATCCATGTGAACATGATTTAAGTTGGGGGGACCTAACCTTCTCTGCGGGGGTCCGGGGGCATGCTCCCCCGGGAAGATTTTTTTTTAAATATTGAAGTTAAAAGCATCAATCTGGTGCACTTTGAGAGCAACATTAGGAGATCTATGGATACATCTTTCAACACCCATTTGAAACAGAACTGTAAGCAGCTTTTTCTTTTTGGATATTTTACAAATCACTCCCCTTTTAAACTCTATTCTTGTTATTTTTAACAACTTTTTTGTTACTGTCATATAGTATTTTATACCTGTTTTTCATTTAGTCTCTAATGTCTCATTAATAATTATAATGATCATATCAAGGTGTGCCTTAACCTCACTGAGCTGAGGTTATTTGAGCCTCTCAGGAGAGAGCTCTCTTCCACCTGGTTGTAGAAAAGCTCTTTAAATTCGTTAGCATAGCTAGCTAACCAGATGCTAATAACAACAGATCGCCACTGTGCTTACAACTAAAGACACAGCCACGCAAACACTGCGGCATGTGTACAGCTCCTTATGGGTACTGCAATATTTGAAGAGCTGGAGCGGCGTTCCGGTGCCCTCCGTAAGCACTCAAGTCTAGTCTACACTCCTTTCAGACGAGACATAACCACGTGAAGACACGTTACGCTCGTGTTATGTTCAAGGAACCTGTCCTTGGCCAGGAAAAACAGGCACTCGCTTGTTTAATTATTTTGCGATCTAGATTTCTTCTTCTTTTTTGAAGTGAGAAGTTGTCCGTCAGTCGGACGGACTAACGGACGGACTAACGGACGAACTGACGGACCCCCACACCCCCCCAAAACGAAAACTCTTCGGTTCTCCACGAATTACACAAGTCACCCAAAGCAGCGTTAAAAAAGCGGGAGGCGCCGAAAAGCGACTAATTTGCATCACTGATAATCTCAATGAAGGTATCTCTTGTGTAATGTAATACAGTTCAACAGCACACCGAACTGCATCCTCCAAAACCACCATGCTCTCTATTTTTATTTCTTCAGGATTGGTTGATTAGACTGCCTTATTTATGGTTAAGTGTACTTAATACAATTGTAACTTGAACTAAAATGGTACTTTTCAGGTCCTGAAAACTTGGAAACATTAAATAAGTGATGAGGTTTAAGTTGCAAAATATGCAATCTGCTTGATTGTAATGTTGATTTCCCTTTTTATTTACATTTCAGAGCTCATTGTACCTTTATAAATCCCATGTCCGTTCCCTTTCATGATGGTGAAGTCATGATTTGACTCGGGTTCATAATATTTTCTGCATCTTCGTGTTTGGTTTCAGGCCCGGCTTGAGTACCTCCGGGATCAATTCCAGGTCAGAGAGAATGACTTCCTGACGTTCGATGCCATGCGTCACGCAGCCCAGTGTGTGGGCCGAGTCATCAGAGGCAAGACCGACTACGGACTCATGATCTTTGCTGACAAGGTACGTGATCCTTCTGCCCAGTGTTCTCTCATTTGACCCTGCAATACTTTGACATGAGTATCTACACATTATACAATGTCCCAGCACATTGTGCTGCACATTACCTATTGGCCTGTCCCAGTCCATCCACAGTCTTCTGATGTTAGCGTTGAAGTAGCTTCACTGGAGCAGTTGGTGGGTTATTTCTCTAAGCAAAGATCAAACGGTATGTGATGTCTGCCTCCTCAGCGGTACGCACGAGCAGACAAACGTGGGAAGCTGCCTCGCTGGATCCAGGAGCACATCACCGACGGCAGTCTGAACCTCACTGTGGACGAGGCCGTGCAGCTCTCCAAACACTTCCTGAGGCAGATGGCCCAGCCGTTCAGACAGGTGAGTCGCGCTGCTGCACAAGAGCAAAACCTGTGTTTGAAATGTCTTGCTGCTGTCCTGGGTAGTCATCATGTCTAATGTAAGCTTACATATAAAGGGCATTTATTTGATTCTAACGAAGCAAGTTTATATATTTGCTCAGGGTTTTAACCCAGAGAGCACATGCATGTACTTTAAAGTTGTCTGATTACCTGCACTGCTGTTGCTCTGGTTTTTAATAGAATAATAAGAGTATACACTGTACTGCACTCAACATTTTACTAAAAGGGGAAAAACATTTGTGCTTATCCAGTTAATCAGAAGTACATTTTGACTGCGTTTAGATACAAAAAACAGGAGATTGAAAAACTGTTGCTTACAAAAACAGTAATTTCACTACCTACTTTATCCCACGCAGTTTGAACATGTAGCAGCTTTCTACTCTAACCCTTATGTCACTCACAGCTGCAGAGAGAACAGAACCATACATCCATAGTAGTGTCATTAAGCAGGACACTGATAATAGTGATCAGAAAGTCTGATCCTCACACTGATGTCCACCTGTCTGTCTTCTCTCTCTGCAGGAGGACCAGCTGGGTCTCTCTCTGCTGACTCTGGAGCAGCTGGAGTCTGAGGAGATGCTGAAAAAGATCAGTCAGATCGCTCATCAGAGCTGAGAGTTGCATATATGCAGTGGATAATGTCATCACCGTGGCAACACCCATAATGGGATCAGCAGTATTTACAATGGCATCCTGAAAAGCAGAGAAATAAAACGATTGTTTTGTAACTATGCAGCAGAGGCAACACAGGTTGTTATGGGTTCACTACATCAGGACATTCAGACTAAGGGTCAGGAAATCAGCTCATCACTAAACAAAAGAAAAATAAATAGGATGGAGTGTTTGTCTTTTATACAAACGTAACACATTTAGTGAGATTCAGGATTTTTGATGTCTAAACATCATTAGTAGGTCAACACGTTTCTTTAACTACAAATCAAGATTCCTCTGGGTGTCACTGCGGTCATAAAGCGTCTGTCATACAGACAGAACTACTGTTAGTTTCCTCTAACTGTACAGTCCCATTTTTTACTGAACATGAATATTTGTATCTGTTTTCCACCAGGATGTCGGAAAATAAATGTTTGTATCTAACAGAGGACTTTTCATTAAAGTGTTTGAATCTTAATAACATCATTCATTGAGGAGTCACAGTAGCTATTCAAGCTGGAAATTGGTGTAGCAGTCCTTAATAATAAAGAAAACACAAATTGTCAAACTCTAAAAGACAAAGCAATGCGAACAAATACACATTTCTTACATCTTAAGGTCATTTATTTCAGCTCAGGTTTGCAAATATAAAATACAAACATATTTACCAGAATAAACAGCATCAGGAGATATATTCCACTTTCCCATTGTATACGTAACATTCTTACATGTGTTTCATATCAAACTAGCTTCTACAGGTACTAGTGTGCGCTTTCAGCCCTGACAGGGTGCAGCAGTGACATCCTCTACCACAGCAGATAATCGGTAGTTCTCCACCGTGGGAAACCACGTCAAAGTATGTAATGCTGTTTTCAGTGAGGGAAGATTTCCAAGCAGCACTCTCTGTTTTTGCGTCAATGTCTTTGAACGTTCCAGAGGTTTGAGTATGCATACAATTATAGTTATTAAATGATTTTAGTCCATGCTATGTTGTCATATCACCAGTTGGAGTAATAGTTCAAGTAAGTCTTTCTATAAAAAAATCAAAAGATCACAATGAAATGACATGTTAAATTAAAAGCTAGTTTACTATTTTCAATAGTATGATGCAGCTAGTTATGGATTTCAGGCGTTTCAGAGAATGAGCATCAGTGACAGACATTCTTAAGTTGGCCACCTTAAATGTGTTCCTCAGTCACACTGAGCCAGGTTTACTATGGAGATAGATCCAGGCCAAAAATGTTGATCATGTGAAAAATAACATTAATCTGAAAGTTTGATCCTGAATAAAAGTAAATTGAATGTTTTAAAAAAGATAATACAGTATGAAAAGGTTTTTCAGGTTGAATATTATTTTTGATTCAGTTTAGGAATGAATATGAATTCTCACATATCATTTGATATTTGTTTCAGTGTTATATGGGGCAGACTCGTAGCCCCTTGTGTCTCTGGGTTGCCCTTCAGCTGCTAGAAGTACGTCTTCACAGGCTGAGACCTGTATCTGTCTGCTTTTGGCTCTGGACACATATCATCATGTTGGATTGTCAAAGCTTGTCTGAGACATTTCTGAACTTACACAAAAGGATAATTGCTGAATGTGTACAGCATAGAGCCTTTTCTATACAGTCTTGCTCTAACATCTGCTGGATGTCATGGTTTCCACTTTCTTTGATTTGACAGCGTAGCGGATCAGTCAGAAATGTTCCAATCCTACACAGAGTGGCTCTCAGTCAAAGGTGCTGCTCAGTCAGTGTTAGCTTCAATCCTTCTCCTGCCTTTGAGCTGGTCTCACATTTGAGTTAAACACTGACTCAGGCACACAGCAGTACTTTTGTTATACACCTCTGAATAGTGTTCGAACACTGACAAATAATTGCTGGATATGGAAGTGTGCACTTTATCACTTTAATATTCAAGTATTGATTGATTTACCAGCTTAAGAGTTCGATTGTCAGTTAATATATATTCATATATTTTTGATCAATGTGCAAAAATATCCATATTCAATAGTACAATTTAAAAAATCTTATATGTGTTCATTTTGTGCAGCTAGTTTGTTTTTATTCAAGTTTAAAAAAGTTGGTCCTTATTCTCATAGTGTGGAATGTCAAAACTGGACTGGGAAGCAAAGCAGCTGAACAAGCACATCTGTGATGTTTCAGTCATATGATTAGAAGGACCTGCACATCATAAAGGCAACATACATTTAAAGAACTCAAACAGTTCCAACGTCTTCACTTCTCCCTTGTAAACCAAATGCAATAATATTTTACATTGTGACAACGCATCATAGTTTTGATTATCGTGCAAACAACTTTACATTCCTGTGAATTTATAAAAATGTATAACTTAATGTCGATACAAGTGTTTTTCTCCGGAGAATTTAAACATAAATAATGTTGTTTTACATTGTTGTTAATAGAAATGTTACTAATATGAAAGATGAAATTCTATTGTTAATCTGCTAATGACATGGTTAAAATAAAGAAATTAAATATAGAAAACTTTGTTTTCTAACAGTGTCAATCCTGGTGAGGAAATTTGGAAACTGAGTTCAATAAAACAAGAAATAATGATATGACCTCTTCAGTGAGCAGGAAGGAAGGAGAGGTTCTTCACAACGATATTCTAACCGCTTTCTGGAGACAATTGTCATCACCAGATACAAACATGTCATTATTGTGCTAACTGTGAAATGTTCTCAATAGCTTAGATTACATGTAATAAATTCTTTAAATTAGGAATATTTGCACGTTAGATTATTGACAAAGTCTGCAGTTGCGACAACTATCTCCAAAAGTGGGGAATCACTTTAGTGTAGAACACCTGATGAGAGCGATAGCTGTGTGTGCGTGTGTGTGTGTGTGTGTGTGTGTTAACTGGTACCACCCAGTGAGCCTCTTCTTGTCAGGCTCTGTGTGCTGGAGCTCAGTCCTCGAACATCTGCCAAGCGGCTCGACTGAGGAACAAACAGACACGAGGATGTGAACGTGGGACAGTCAGAGGCATCTACGTCTCTCAAAGAGACCGGAGCTAAAACCCCTCTGCTCTACTTGTCTTTCTCACTAGGAAAATGCATAACCAGTGAGATAACAGCTGTTTGTGAGCAGCAGCATTACAGGTTAGCTAGCCTCTGCACCTCGTGTCCAATATTTCATTTTTATGGCCTAATTTACTAGGATATTTTTATCAAATTTTTTGACATAGTCATTTAATTTCTTTATGATATACTACAATGTGACTTTTTGATGAAAATGGAATGGCTGTAAATCCCACTCAACTCCCCAAGGTGTCCCTGTGTCTTCATGAGCCACAACATGTTTCATGTGAATTATTATGATTATTTATGAGTATACTATGGCATTCTTAATTAAACATTTATACCAAACTATACTTTATGACTAGGATTTTTACAAGGCAGACCCTATTATGACTTATTGATGCACTATGACTTTTCGTATGATTTATTAAACTATGACTTTCTTACATTCTTTATGGTATACTAGATTAAAATTGTTTATGATACGCTATACTGTAACTTCTTTATGACAATTAAAGGCATCCTCAAACTCATACACTTTTACATTCTGTATGGCATACTATACTATGACCTTTTCATGACATTTGAATGAAATCATCTAGTTTTAATTTGAATGATATGATATATACTAACTTTTTCATAACATTCTTTATGGCATACTATGACTTGTAATTTGTTATGACATAATGTACCCTTAAGTTTAAGGACATATTCTAGTGGCATACTATATGAATAGTTCTTCCTCAACTGGTCATATTTTGTAAGTGTGTTTGATAATCCACAAAATGAACATGGAAGAACATTGTGCTGTGCAGACGCATCACAAAAATCACACGCAGTTACTACTCATGCATGTCATCGCTGTTAAACCGAAGGAAACATCCACAGTGTTCTCACCTGGGCCCCGTCCTGACTCTCTCTGTCCCGATCATTCAGCACATTCAGAGAGTTCGCTCTCTTCATCCTGAAACAGAGAGACAGTAATAATGGACTCTTAATCTTTATAAAAGGGATATAATATTACTAAACACACACACACTTCTACTGTACAAGCTGGGTTTAACTGATTCTGGAAAAAAGTTGATGTCTGGTTTAACAACAGGCCTGAAAAACAATATTTGTATATACAGACTGTCAGAATGAGTTCTTGTATATTAAATAGGAAACCTTTCTTTCAAAAATGAGGTATCCACCATTCGAAAAATAAATCACTTTATATGTTATCTTATTATTCACATTGTTTGTTTGTAAAATGATTAAACAGGATTCCTTTTACATAAATCAGGGTCTGCATCTGTGTGGACGATCTATGAGGTGTGTACGGGTTTCAGCTACAGTTAGACTTAAGGTGAGAGGTTAACACCTTGTCAACAGAACATTACCCAGCGTTGCTCTGAATATTGTCCTCTATTCCGACTCCTCTCAGCTTGCGGACCAGCTTCTCGCTGCTCCTTCGTATCGACTCTCTGAGTTTGGTGAAGGATCCGCTGCGCCTAAGGTTACTGAGCCCGTCCTGTCCCGCCCCACCGTCCTCTGCCCCGGACCAGCTGGGACGACCGTCCCCTGGAGGACAGACAGCAACAAACCAGTATGAACAATAAGAATGCTAATACCGGCAGGTCAGTGAAACTCCCGCAGGAACACATGAGCAGTCTACAGCAGACCTGGCCAGACAGGATCCACTCCGGTTGGGAATCCTTCTTGGATTATTTCCAGTATTTCCAAGTATTTCTTTGTACTATAAGCTAACTTTCTCGTGGTCACTGATGAACATTTAGGTGTTTACTTTTGATTATATTTTTGTCTTTTAAAGGCACTTTACTACAGAAGTGCATTCCCTTTAACAGCAGTTACGGAAAGGTGACCTCAGTTTCACTCAGATTTGTTTGCTTTGTCCACTTGTGTTAAACCTTTCTATATTTATCACTCACTTCTGCAAGACTTAGGACAATCCTACTTATTCTGCCCATTAAATGAGGCTGTGTAACTTTTGAGAGAACGTTTCTCTTCTAAATTAAATGTATGAGCAATTCAAACCCCCTTTGCTCACTTTAGTACACTTGGTGGCTTTCCTTTTAAAGCCTTATTTGGTCTGATATTAATATCAATTAACTGGGACTAATGTGTATTTAAATGTCATTCAATTTGCCAACTCAAAGACTTTAACATGAACTGTAACTAAAAGTGACTGTGCCTGTGTTCTCACTACCAACGTATTAGTTTAGGATCATATAGGAAAACAGAACTCTTCTTATTAAGCACTCAAATCCAGATATAATCATAACCAATACTTGTATTTGGCTTTAACTGAAACAGCTAATCAAAGTAGTGTTGTCACGATACCAACATTTTGGTTCCGATACCGATACCAAGTCAAGAATTGCGATTCCGATTCTTTGTCGATACTTTTCTTTTATTATTTTCATGATCAATACAATTGTAGTTTATCTGTTAAGTGTTTTCTTACAACATGGTCTCTTCTTTTTCCTTGAGTTTATGTGATTTCTTTGATAGTTAACTTTATATTTTATTAACATGTAATAGTACAGTAATATAAATAATTATTGACAAAATGTACATTGCAGATGTTAGCCACATTGGTGAGTTAGCTAAAAAGATAGCCATATTAGACAGTTATCATTGCCATTAATTGCCTCGTCAAACTACGAAAACATTTGTTTGTCACAAAATAAATTACACTTGTTTGACTTCGATTTGAGGGCATGGGCTTGAGCATGATGTAATTATGTATCACATTCACTAACCTGTCTGTCTTCAAATTCTTTAAACAGCTCTGGATGCCGGTCGGCGGGTGCTTAGTCAAGTTTGATGTGTTGGCTCCCTTGGTTTGCAGGGATCTAAAACATTTCTTACGGACAGGCCTCGTGGTGTCCGTAGGCTTGCCCTCACTGTCAGAGATATAGTTAAAATACTTCAAATTTAGCTTCTGGCGTCTTTTTAGTCAACAAGCCGAGGCGCAGCGGCAGTTGCACTCCCACTTGCAGCCATGCTTCTTGTCTTCTCACATGCTCTGACAGCGAGCGCGTGCATGAGAGAGGGGAGGCACATAGAGCGTACTTGAGAGGGGAGGGACTGCAGGCACGGCTGCAGTGCAGGGAGTGGAAGCAGAGCGCTGAACACACACGGCTCTTATTAAAACAGCGCTTTCTCACCGGAGTACTTTTCCCCGTCATTCTTAAAGTACCGATACTAATGAAACGGAGGAATCGTAACGTTTTTAACGGCAGGGTATCGCGGTACCTTTCAAGTATCGGTACACCGTGCAACACTAAATCAAAGTAAAATATTAAGAGTTGTCATTACTTTCCAAAAGTCTCACTGTAAAATAAAACTTGTGCTTAAACAAAATGAAAACCCCCCAGCAATATGTACCTTCCACAGATCCAAACTCCTTCTCATGTGCTCGGGTCAGGATCTCTTTGTACAGAGACTCAGCTTGTCTGTATTTCCCCTGCTTCAGATAGCACGATGCCTGAGAGGGAACATAGAAACAGGACAACAGATGAGAGATCGGTTTAGGGGAAAGTGTACAAAATAAAGAAATGTTGTGTGGTTCCATTAGACTGAAGACCTTGACAGTAATGAACTCGTTGAGGAAACAGGGAGACTCAGACGAGCAACAGAACAATCTAAAATGGCTCCTCCTGAAGGCCCTCTCACCAGGTTGTTCTTGGTCTTGGCCACGTTGGCGTCGTCCGGGCCCAGCTTGCTCTGGTAGATGTGCAGAGCGCGCTCGTAGTACTGCTCCACCTCCTGGTACTTCCCCTGGTTCTGACACAGCAGGGCCAGGTTGTTCAGCTGCTTGGCCACATCGGGGTGATCAGTGCCCAACACCTGGGGGGGGGTCAGACACAAGATACACTGAGCACAAAACACACATGACTCTTTCCAAAGCCATCACAGTGTCTGATGCTTCATTGAAGATGTATTGAGATCATTTACGCAGAGCTAAAATCTTGAGGATTACTTGGGAATGAGCCAGTTTTTAATCATGCAAATGCAAGGGGCCATAGTGTTGCCTCATTCAGCCAAAGGCCGTGCCTTAGCAGACATGAAGTAGTAAGATGAAAGTCTTCAAACTTATTTCTTCAAGTAAAGATAGCATAACTCACTGTGAAAATGCTCTCTTACAAGAAAGAGTTCCACTTTCACTATCTATTGTTCTTGTAGTGAAAACCCTTGGTTAGAATAAATGCCTATACATCAAAGGTTTGTAGGAGATATAAAGGTTTATGGTGCATAAACCTTTACATACATCTCTGAAGAGCAAACATTTGAATCATTTTACTCTGAAGGTTTTCATAAGAAGAGTAAAACAAGAGTGTGTCCGCTCACTTTCTCTCTGATCTCCAGAGCTCTTTTACACAGCGGCTCTGCTTCTTTGTATTTTCCTCTTTTCCCATAAAGCACTGCCAGGTTGTTGAGCGTTGCTGCCACCTGCACAGACAAACAAAAACACACAATGTTCATACACACCAGCTCAGTGAGTCTGACCTGAACTACTGAGATGAAAAACATGTTTCTACTAATACTAGTGCACACAAGATGTGTTTAAAGGTCCCATGTCATGTTTTTCTGGTTATTACCCGTCCCCTTGTGTGTTATGTAGCTTTTTCTGCATGTAAACGGTCTGCAGAGTCACAAACCCTCAAAGTACACCCTGTAGCGAGTAAAACTCTAACACAGAAAAGACCTGTCTATGCTGCCCCAGAACGCCTCGTTGGAGATTTCTCTTTTTCCATTGTTTTCTTCTTGGGTATAGTGACGTATTTTGGGTATAGTGACGTAACGTAACGTACATTACAGTACGTTACGTCCGCGGAGCCGTTACGTTTGGACCAATCCGTGGACTTCCACACACACACACACACACACACACACACACACACACATACTCGGCGGAACGTTGCCAGGCTCGCTGCTGCGAGGAGCGGGACACTGTGAGCTGGCTCACTGGTGTGGGGTCGGCGAGACAGCGAGACACCGTGGAACTCAGCCTGGGCACACACACAAACTCCCAGCCAGGCTGCAGGAGTGTGTGTGTGTTCGGGCTGGTTTCGCTGGGTCTCGCAGACAGCCACTGGGCTCACAGGGAGGGGGGGGCAGGAGCTCCAACAAGCCGTGTAGGACAGAGAGTGAATACACATACTATACAAAGATGCTGTATGAGAAACCAATGTGAGTTTGGAAGATTGAACAATGCAAATGTATTTTAGTAGACTCAACAATGGAATTGTGATCAGTAGAAATGGCCATGACATGGGACCTTTAAGTTTACAAACAAACACAATAATAAGTGAAAAGCAAGTGGAATAAATACAAAAGCAGCAGCATTTGTTCCAGGTTATTCAGTGTGTGAGCGCTGATGAAAGTGTGTCAGTGGGCTACAGCAGACTTATTGAATGAATTTAAATAGAAGAAACTCACAGCGGGATGGTCCATCCCCAGAGTTTTCTCTCTGATGGCCAGCGCATCGTTCAGCAGGTTGGCTGCTTCTTTGTATTTGTTCTGATCTCTGTAGAGAAACACACACTGCACTTATTGTCACCTCAGATTCTACTTTGTATATATGATCACATTGTTTTGGCGAATAGAGTTGTGGGGGAACATTGTAATGCTGAATTCGATTTTTCATTCCTTCTTTTTTTATTATAGCAAGACCTTTAATATTATAAAAAGGGTAAAAACAATGAGTTTGTAGTTAGAATAGTATTATATAGCATTGATGGCAAAGGTTGATACATAAATACACAGCAGATCAATGTAATACAATATTCTATGCAGCATCGTTAACAGATCGGAGACATTTGTCAGTTAACGATGCAATTCAAATGAATTTGCTAGATGATGTCATCAATACCAGTGACCTTATCTAATTGTGGTGTATAATCTTTATAAAAGTGTTCTGTTGGTGACCTCACCTGTACACCAGCGCCAGTATATTCAGCATGGTGGCTACGTCTGGGTGTGTGTGACCTGAGGACTTCTCTAGGTCTTCCAGAGCCTGTTGACACATACATAAGCATTGGATCAGTACATAGAGATGGCCACATTAACATGATCAAACTCCTGGCTTTTTGATCATTTGAGCAGATAAAGATTAGACGTTTCAACCCAAGAAAGACACAGAGAGATCCGGAGGCTTGCAAAACGAGAGCAGCTCTTTAAGTTGCTGTTTTTTCGGCTCAGTGCTCACTGTAGGCTCATGGGTGATATTTATGTCATATTTGTGACACTGTTATCCAATGGGACCGTCATTAAATTAGCATATTCATATTGGAACATTATCACTATATAAGGAGGATATGTTCTTATGTTGATTTAGTGTTTCTAATGGACATCCTGATACTTCTCAATTCTTCTCCTCTTTTCTACTAATGTGCTGATAACAAAGTTCAGCTGTAAAACTTTTAAAAACGGAATAAAGCGCTGTCTTAAGCACCAGGGAGGTTTGCAACTTTGTGTATTCCTCATTTGACACAAGCTATGAACACATTGTATTAAAGCTTCAGTGTCATTTCCCATCTCTATCCGTACGTAGTGTTTTATATCTTGGAAAGACTGCATTTCCATCAGCATTTCAGAACTCTCTGTCCTGATCCCCCTAGGAGGATTGGTCTCAGCCCTGCAGTGCACCTGGGAGCGATTACTTTGGGCTGAACTGATGCAGGACAGAGGGTGAGGTTGCAGTGAGTTTCCAGAAGAGATGCAGGGATTCAAGGAGCCAGAGCTAGTGCAGTTTAAAGGTGAGGCTCCTCCCACCTGTTTGCAGAGCGGCACAGCGACCTCGTAGCGGCCCTGGGAGGCGTACTGGATGACCAGGTTGTGCAAGGTGCGCAGCCGGGCGGGGATCTCGTACCCCCCCTGCTGCGCTGCCGCCGCTGCACTGCTGTGGTGAGGCTGGGACACTGAGCAGAGGGCAGAGATGCTCAGATACATGCACTATTTAATACTAGCATCATGATATTTCAATTACATTTCATTAACAACTTTTTATCCACCCCACAAACATCATGCATTACATGAATTAACATCATATAAACGTGTTGTTCTTTATTTTGTATAAAGCCATGTTCACACTCTGAATTCTGCACACATGTTTACATAGCCCTCCACTTTCAAATATTTCGTTTTTTTTTATGCTAAATGGTTTCTTAAAAATACTTATTTGTATTACATATTACATGATTACCTATCATTACAACCTATCTTGTGGGATTGTTTCTGTTGGCAACACCAGACACCAAAGCAGATTTCCTTGTATGTGTGAACGCACCTGGTTATACACTTGATTCTGAAGTAAACATTTGATTCATGAACTGATATTGTTGTGAAGATTTAACACTTGTTTCCAAAGTGTTTTTGACAGAATGTGACTATATTGGAGCATTAAATCAAATATAAAGACGAGGTGTTACTTGAGGTGCTGTTATACTATACATCCATACAAGACAATAAATACATTCCCAACTTGCTTTTAAAAAGAAAACATTTAGCTGGATGGGGAAATCGCTTTTAGATTATTCTCACTGGCTGACATCATGCATTTCTCTGAATAGATGCCATCGTGCATTATTACACAAGACAAAAATGTGACACCAGACCTCGAGATGTCTTTACTGTGTGTGAAAAGTTGTTACGCTAAATATACCCAGCAGCAACACAGTTACACTCTTCAGTGTGTCCAATGAAAACATGTTCATCTGCACCTCTATGAAAACAGAGGATTTGTAATCCACTCACACACATAAACAACATGTGTGATGTATAGCTAATTAGAACATTAAAAGGATTAGTTCCCAAAAATACTTTTGAGCCGTTTCAGTTCTATTTTCTGGGCTTTTGAGTGTTCTTTTGCAGACCTGACAATCTGGATGAATGGAAATGTACATTTATGCTGTGAATGAGTAACAGATCTAAAGACTAGAGTCTTACTCTGTGACTGCTCCTCATCCTCAGTAGGAAAGAGGTCATCCAGGGGATCTTTGGTTGAAGACGCGTCTTTGTCATCCTGAGGTGAGGAAGACACATTCAGCAAACAATGCAACTGCGGACCAATTACAACATCATATATATATATATATATTTGCTCAATGAGTACACTACACAGCAGCAGTGGTCTCAATTTAGATTTTAAACTAATGGACCACGTTAACAAACAAATGAATTTTAGGAGTTGTTTGAGCTCCTAGATTTGAATATAAGGCACATTGATAACATGGCTCAGTCTCGGTGCTCTTATCAAGCCCATTTCAGCAAATACACTCTGATTCATCACCAGTTCATAAACAGCTGGTGGACATGGTGGATTTGTTCCCCTCAAGAATGAATAAAGACCAAGCTAAAGCTAGACGTGGTGAACAGTGGCCTTTAATTCACAATGCAAAGGTTTTGCTATATCTTCTAGATATATAGAAGTAAAAAAGTATTTCAGCTTGTGTTTGTCAACTGTGTCTTATTTTTTCAACCAAAAATGGGGTTCTCTACAATAAGTCATTAAAGACTTACAGGACAGAATATATCCACAGAAAAACATCCAGATAATACCATACCTCAGGCTACCTTCCATAACGAGCTGACAGGTCTGGCAGGTTCGGAGGATTCTTTGTTATTTAAAGAACTACATGTATTCATAGTAAAGTCTTCCTGAGTACACACACACATATTAGTGTTTGCGTGGTGTTTGTTGTCTGCTCACCAGCTGCGGCTCGTCCAGGTCGTACTTGCGTATGGAGGACATGAACTGCAGGTGTCTGTTCTGCTCCTCCAGGGTCACCACCTCCTGTTCCCTGTCCTGCAGGCGCTGCTGGGCTCCTGCCAGCTCGTCCCTCAGCCACTGGTTCTCCTGACAGAAGCGCCGCACCTGGGGGGCACAGAGACATAGGTTGCGTTCCGATAATCCAAAAATCAGCTCCTAAGTTCTAACCCTATCTCCTATTCCTTGACCTCTGAGTGAAACGTCACGGGGTTAAGGGATAGTGGATAGGAGAATTCAAAAGGACTTAGGAGAAGAGACTGCGGTACTTTAGAGAATCCGAATGCACTTTCACTATCCGACGTGTTTATGATGCGCCAGCGGACGTCATTGTGTGCGTCTGCTGCTGTGGTGAAACTATGGAAACTACAGTGTTCTATACAACAGACTACATGGATGTTTAATAAGAACGAGGGACTCATCTAGAGACTCTGCACCGTGCTCTGATGCTGTTGTTTTATGCTTTATGAACGTGGACAGAGAAACATATTCTTCATGACCAAAGTTGTAATTGAAATAAAAAAGGAAAGTGAAATTTATGCTCTTCACCCTCTCCCTCCGGTCCACATTAATACAAATGATCCCAGTATGATGGTATGAACTATGAAAATATCTTAAAATCAATACAAATGTATTTATTATAAACGTTAGTCCTTAACACCTATCACTGTGTATATCACCATTCAAACATCTTTTAAAAGTTGAACAAACCCCACACAGCTCAGTGAAATGTTCACTTTATTTGATCATTTCAGTAAAAACTAACGTTCATATTTCTCTTTTTGATTATAATACTGATGAACGTTCAAAACAAAGCACTTTGGCAACTTACCACATACGTTTTAAAATGCTTAATAAGCACCGTAACTTTCATGATATCATTTCTCCGTCATAATCGTTTGTGTCCGTGAACGGCCGACTGTTGTGTGACGCAAATGCTGCGGCTGCAATGCATTGTGGGGCAGCATTTTCTCCTCTCCTTTCGGTAAGGGAGGTCCAGTGGTTCCTAAGCTAAAGGAGGTTATAAAGGAAGTTTGAAACCTCCTTTCCTTTCATTTGGAGAATTGGAACGGCACTTAACATGGCTGCCACTGACGTACTTCCTGGTCATTTCACTCCGTTAGGAAGGTTCCTAAGCTAAATGGACTATTGGAACGCAACCATAGAGAGAGGACACAGGAATGAGAACGGGAAGTAGAAAGGATGTAGGGGAGAGAAAGGGAAAAGAAAGGAACATGCAGACAAAAGACAATGGCCCAAGAGGGTGAAAAGGGAAAGGAATGTAAGGAAGAGAATACATGTGGACAGAGAGAAAGAGGGAAGAGGAGGAGAATGATTGGTTGGAGATGAAGGAATAAGTGTAACAGAGGATCAATGAGTGAAAGGGAGTTGGAACAAGGAGGAAGAAAAAAGGAGGGAGAAGGATGTTTGGTTTTGAGGAGAAAAGCATGAAGGAGGAGGATTTGAGAGAGTATACTTTTCTTTAGGGTCAGAAAACACAATAAAGGATTTACCGAAGTCAGCGATCTGTTATTTTCCTCTTCAGTTGTTCTTTGTTTTAATGTAATGTCCTGCAGAAACGTACCTGAGCACGCAGCTTCTGTTTCTCCGCCTCCAGAGAGCCCAGATGAGCCGACAGCGCCATCATCACCTGGAGGGTACAGAGGGCAACTCCTCAGAGTGCAATCTAAAACTCTAACGTCATTTGATAATCAATGTAATTCTTCTTTGAACTGAGCATTCCTTGAGACAAAGATTTTCATTTAGGATGAGGTTTCATATCTTTACTGTCCACCTTTATTCTTCCCAATGCGGTGGTTAATCAGAGCTTATTTGATGAAAAGAGATGCATAGCTTTGCTGGAATGGGCTTGATAAGAGTATTGCGACTGAACCATGAAGTCAATGTTCAGTCAAATCTAATCTAGGAGCTAAAACAGGCTAAATGACTCCATAAAGCTACACATGTCAAAGGGATTTATTTGTGTTTGTCAGTGAGAGACACCCCTTTTAAATGTTGGCCCATTAGTTTCAAATCAGAAGTGGCACCATTATTAACAGCTACTGTTGAAAAACTTGTTTTGGCCCATAAAAAAATAAATAAAAAAAGCTAAAAGACGCAAAAATGCTACGAAGAGCTAATAGCACCTTAAAGTACCACAAAGAGTACGTCCCTATAGGTGTACCTACCTGTGCCTCGCTCAGCCCCAGCTCGATCCTCTCCAGTGATTGGCGGATGATGCCGCTCTTCTCCTGTTCCACGCTGCCGCTCTCAGGCGCCGCCCGGCTCTCCAGCGCCTCCTGCAGGTTGTCCAACAGACTGCGGTTCTCTCCTCTCAGCGCCTCCAGCCCGGCGATCACCTGCTGCGTGTTGCACAGAATCTCCTCCGCCGAAAACATGGCTGCCACTCTGAGGTTCCCTCTCTCGCAGCAACTGACCTGGGAGCAGCACAAAGGGGGTCAAACAATGGAAAGTCATTTTAGTGGTATTCATAGTTATGTATTAAAATAGAGAGGGAAATACCGTAAAAACAGGGCTTGTGGTATTAAAAGTAGTAGTAGAATATTAAAGATTAGCAGTAGAAATAATAGGAGAATAAAAGTGTAATAGTGACAGTAGTAATAGAAGTTGTAATAGTGGAAGTTAAGGGATAGCAAAAGTAGTCTTTTAAAATACATTGGATACATTTTGGTCAACAGTGGATATAAGATTGTATATATTATTAAGTAGTTATCATGATGACTTGTGATTACTTGGGAAAATGTTATTTAAAAAAAGGATATTTTGGAATTATTTTAATTTTTGTATATTTTATTTGTTGTAATCAGAGAGGATTAAGGATTTACACATTTAATTCCATAACATGTTCAATGGTTGGTTTTACATTTCAATAAAAATAAGTAGTAGTCGATAAGTAGTCAAAGCGGAAGCAGAAGTACATGTACTACCTGTAGAATAGGTAGCAAATAGTAGCAGAAGGCCTAGCTGTAACAGCGTGTCAGTCATTGTGGTACTAGTTGTTAGAGAAGAATTAGTAGGCTAGTATTATTAATACTAGTACAAGTGGCAGTAGTAATGCCAGGTTGAGTAGTGAGAGTCATGACAGTAGGAAAGCAGCAGCACAAGTACTACTGTAGTAGATGTTCTAGAGAAGAGTAGCCATTAGTAATAGGAGCTTTTGGGGACTTTACAGTAATAACACTATGAAGTCAAAGTATACGTCTGTAACTTCCAACATAAAGATTATTTTAGAAGTACATTCTTAACAAGCAGTATTTAGAAGTCAGCATGCTGTTATTATAGTATCACCTTGGCTCTAACTCAGCTGGCTCTAGTGCTAGGTCATCGGATAAAAAGCAAATAGAATACAGTGAAGATTTAAGATGTTTTTTGTCAATTGTCTGAAGCTAGGGATGCTCAATTAATCGTATTTTAATCGCAATTACGATTTTGGCTTGCAAGTTGCAACGATTATGAAAACCACATAATCGAAATAAAACGATTATTTTATTATTTTAATTTAGTTATTTATTTAAAAACAATTTTTTTTATTGGTTTTTCAGTTGAATTATACTTAAAGTTCAGGTTAATCAACTGTTAAAAACATACTGTTCAACATTCCTTTTCAATAAATGGATGTTTTCAAAGTAAATGGATAATCGTTTTTAATAATCGTGATATCAATTATTGACCCAAATAATCGAGATTATGATTTTTGCCATAATCGAGCAGCCCTATCTGAAGCCATTAAAACTTGCTGCACCTTTACCAGCTTTGATTATAATGATTGATCATGAAAGTTTCCTCAAAGCTGGTAAAGGTGCAGCTAGTTTGAATGACTGTGTATACTGCAGGGTAGCTTGTGAATTTACTCCAGGTGGAACTAAAGTCTGATTTAAGACTTGATTATATTTCACATCATTCATCCACATCTAAGTAACTAAAGGTATTAAATACATGTATTGGAGTAAAGGTACACTATTTACCTCTATGGGTAGAAGCACATATAGATATGAAACACACATTACTCTGTGTGTTCTGTGTGTAGCCTACTGTGGGCGGAGCAGCAGACCTCCGGTCAGTGCACCATCGTGTCGGTAACAATGTATTTATCACGCTCATGTTGAACCTACAACCTCTCCGATGATATAATGACGACTGCGTCACATTGAGACATTTCTGTACAGTTTGTTGTGAAAACGTCCTTGGCTATACTGGACAACAGTTAACAGCTCTCCTGTAACAGTGCTCGATAACTATTGGGTCTGAAATACGATGTAAACACAGGCAGAAATGAAGGCTTCATTCAGATTACATCCACAGTTATTTATAGCGTCAACGCTACCTGCTAAATCCAGGCTCCGGCGGCGTGGTGGCGTCTTTTTGTCCACTCTGAGCTGTTAATATTATTTTAATTTGGAAAGAGAAACCGGTATACAGCGTATCATTTTCGCTTACAGTACCTGTCAGTTTATTTACTGTTGGGACAGTGATAAACTAGGAACTGTTAATGATTCACCTGCTGCTCCTCGGCGCTCAGCTACTCCTGTCATCACAAACTCATTAGCATTAAGCTAGCATAACAAGACATTTAACTTCCGGCTTCACCTTCAGAATAAAAGTCTTGTCAACGCACATAAAGGTGCATTTAAATGATATGAAGCGAAAAGTGCTTGATTCCTTGAATAGGTAAAAGAATAGTTTCCCTGTATGGTAGGGTATACATTTGTCAAAAACTGTTTTCAGTTGTGGACATTAAGTACACTTACTTACTTACTTGAGTACTCCATGAGTACATTGAAGTAAAAGTTGTAATTTACTTGATTATTTCAGTTTTTATTAATCAATCAATCAATCAATCAATCAATCAATCAATCAATCAATCATTCCACTCTCCTATATCTCAGGGGCCGTATTCACAAAGGATTTTAGGGCTAAAAGTAGCTCCTAACTGGCGAATTTAGGAGAAACTCCTAAGCATAATGGGCGTGTCAGTCTTAAATTTAGGACTCCTAATTTTATTCACTAAGAGCAATTCACAAAGTATTTTAAGCCTAAAAGTAGCACCTAAGTCTGGGAGAGCTTAAAAGTCCTCGAGAGGACTCCTAACTCAGTAAGACCTATTCACAAAGAATCTGAAAATGGCTGAGAGACGAAATGTTTTGGAGATAATGGAAGACTGTGAATTGATCAAGAGATATAGGCTAAATCGTGAGGGTATCAAACTTGTTGTGGAATTAGTGCGGGATGCAATACTATCCCCGACTAACAGGAATAACCCGATTAGTCCGGAAATAAAATGTTTGGCAACATTACGATATTTAGCAACAGGGAAAATGCAACTTTGCAATGCCGACGATTTAGGAATATCGCAACCATCAGTCAGCTGTGCCATAAACCAAACCATCAACGCGCTCTCTAGACCACATATCATCCAACAGTTTATCCGGTTTCCTTTGGACAATCAACAACTACACAGGATCAAAGCCAACTTCATGGCAATGCAGGTATGCCCGGTGTGGTCGGTGCTATTGACGGGACGCACATACAAATAATTGCGCCATCAAAAGATGAGGACGTGTTCGTCAATAGAAAGAGAGTACATTCCATCAACACGCAGATTGTTTTCATTCATCATGATAGGGGGACTTGAACGGCGGTATGGGCTGTTATTGAAAGTGTTTAAGAGCTGGAAATATGCTCATTGGATAATAGTTTGCAGGGTGCTTTTAATTGCCTCCTCGATTTAATGCAATTTACGTATTTTTATTGTTTGCTCTCTCTCTTTAACGTGCACAACGTCATTATCGTGGTCTGCACAAACTTGTCATCATGTGTGTATTCTGCTAACTGCACTGTCCATAACTATTTGATAGGAATACATTTCTAGCCTAGGCTATTTCCTTGTTTTTCGGTGATTTAGTGGGCTCGTTTGTGGGATGTTGCGGATGAGTTTCACCGAGACCGCCTACTCTGAACAACCAATCACCGTACTGACCGCTTCTAAACTCATGCACGAGAATCGACGTCATCCATAGCAACGGCGCGTCACTCTTAGTTCAATCTTAGTGATTTATCCTTAGTATGAGTAGGTCTCAGCGGCTTTGTGAATAACTTTTAAGAAAAAACTCCTACGTAAAATGTTTTAGCGCGAGTTAGGAGCACTCCTAGCGGTAAGATAAAATGCTTTGTGAATACGGCCCCAGGGGTATATATTCAACTCGTTTTGTCCGACAGCTTTAGTTATTATTGACTTGTTGTTCAATGAAATCATGTTTCTGACACTGAACGATTGTGAAATGGTACTTTGAGAAACTGATCTTATCTATTAAGCCAGATATACTATTTAACGAATATATTGGATCAGATGAAAAACATTTTTTCACAAAGCTGTTTTTCTGAAAACTCATAAAAAGTGTACTTTACCTTTGTAAATATGGTGTTCTCCCAGCACAGTGCATAACAAAAGAATGATCTTGTAGAATATGATGCATAGCTGTAGCAAAAACAACATACACATCTACAGCAGGAAGTCAGCTGCACAATGCATAATGCCCAAAAAAGCTTTTCATATTGATTCTTCTTCATATTAAAGTGCATTTGCTGATATTTAGGCCTTCTTATATTTGAACCCTGTTTGCGTGAGCTCCACTTGCAGTGGGGCATTTTTACAGTGAGGTATCTGAATACTTCTTCAACCACTGCCCTTCTCTGCACCCTTTCACTGTTCAAAGATATGAATGGGATGCACCAAATAGGTAAACCAGGATAAATCAACCACAAGTATTTCAACTATAGTTTCACTCACTGTTCTACAAATGTATGGATCAGATATATATTTTTTCAAGCTTCAATAGTTCAGGTTCAACTTTGCGTTGATGGCCAGTTTATCATAAAACAACAAGACATCAGCACAACTCCAAAATGAATCAATACTAAAATAGGCAGACAAAGTTAGTTAGGTTTGACTCACGCAACACACTGCTTTTATTCTGAAGACACAGGCTCAACTTCCTGTATCTTTCCAGTTATGTTCACGGAACTTGACGCATTTGAGGAGTTTACCTGATCCCAGATTTCCCACAATACACTGAGGCACCAGGGCTGGCCGTGATGTCCTGTCAGGGTCGACATCTATCTGTCAGAGAGACGAACTGCCTGCAGGAGGGCATGCACACACATGAATATCAGTTTGTCAAAGACAGATTATCAGAGGTTTTCTCGAGTGTTGATAAATAATAAATAACTTATTTGATCTGAACAGTCCTATCACTGTGATTAAATGGAAATGTCACCAACATATTAGGTTTACATGTACATGTTTATCAACCAATCATCATTTTAAAATACAGATGTGTTCAGTTTAAAAACATATAACTGAATATTATATATTATCTAAACATATTTCTTAAGCACTTAATTAGTTCCTTTATATTATAGTGATGCACCCATGTCACAGATTAGCTGGTCTGTTCAGCCAGATTAGCTGGGTGCTCCATGTGTGACCGAGAGGTCACAGGGTGGGGGCAGCAATAATCTTATTCATTTCACATTAGCCGGCCAGTGGAGGGACCAGGATTTAGGAAACAATCAATTCAAGTTACATTTAGAATTCATTACAGCAGCATTTCGTGGGAGTCAGTGGGCCGTGGCCCAGCACAGCAGCCTAATATACAGTGAGTACAGATCAATAGGATCTGAAGAACAAACACCATGAGTGTTTGAGTGTACGGGGCTCACAGTGTCGAGATAAGTTCTGTTACTTGAGAGCTGATCATGAGACAATGGTTCCCTCGGCACAAAGATGTAAAAGTAAATGTAAAACCTGCACCTGAACATCAGTCGGTTGTTGGCTGTGTGAATTCTGCTTCACAGATCCAAACTCACACCCCACTGTTGGACCAATTATAATATACAGCTCACTATACAACATACTTCTGGAAACCATCAAGACGGTGTTTGTCCTTTGCTTGAGTAAAATCATTTTATAATAATAATAATAATTTATTAACTATTACTATGAATGATTAATTATTATTATATATATTATTATGTATTAATTATTATTATTTATTTATGCTACTTTATCCTTTCCATTACATTTTGGCGATAAATATTCTCCTTTTTTACTGCACTACAATTGTCTCACAGCTGGAGTTGTTTTTCAGAATACAATTGTACATACAAAAACATATTAAAATAATATGTATTTTTATATGTTTAAAAACCCAGAACAATATAAAGTAGTTAAAGGGTTAGTACAATATAATGATCCACGTATTTAATAATATGACAGGGGGCCATTCTGCTGCAGATACATACATTTCATACTTTAGTATTAAGCTGTACATTTGCAAGACTTTCATATGTAGTGGGGGTTTTTTTTTTAGGATGGCATCACTATATCCCTTCATTAAATAATACAAATATTTCCCCCAATACTTGGTTTGGTTGGCAGATATTTAATATTAGGTGAATGTGGTCAGTGATAGAACAACAAAATAACTAGAACAAAATATCCCTGTGACTTTTACACAAGAGATTTGAGAGGTAGGCCCCTGGCCCAGAAACCCCTGGCCTGCGCCTTTTAAGCACGATCAGCTGTTCATCCTTGCTTTGACTCCTTTTCTTTTGAGATTCTATAGATGGCGCTCTTTCTTTTATCCATTCAATCATAGGGCTAGTTTGCTGTTCATGCTAATGACCATCAGATTATACCTACAATAAGCTTCCATACCTTCAAAAGCATATTCACAAAAACTCTTCTAAATCATCTACTAAATACTAAACACAAATTCACAGAGAGAGATACAGCCCAAACAGGAACTATTAAGAGTGTGTGTGTGTGTGTGTGTGTGTGTGTGTGTGTGTGTGCGCGCGTGCGTGCGTGTGTGTGTGTGTGTGTGAGTGCGTGTGTGACAGTTATATGAGCGGGTTGATGGACGGCTCAGCTGTCAGGTAGCAGAGGACCTCCAGCAACTGACTGTGGGAGAGCAGGCCAGCCATATAAGGTCAACGGCCCCCGGGGAATCTCCTTTCTACACCACCATCCAATACCTGCTGCTCACCACATATTCACGGCTAAATAGATCAGGGTCAGAGGGCCAACTTCTCTCTGCAACTCCTGACAAACTGCAGGGAAGAGATTTCTAGATACTAAAACAACCTTTTTTTGGTCTGAAGGTCTCGAGTGTCAATGACAAACTGTACACATTGTATTTCCTGTCAGCACCTACAGGAAACAAATTTTCAGTCTTGCAAAAAAAATTAATGATGGGTGTTATTCAAACTGTAAACTGTTTCATACATTTGTCATAACACACTGGAAGATTGCTGGATGAAACAAACTGCTCGATAGAAAGAAGGACAACCTTAGTCAATACATCCTAAGATATGCAGCTGGGGCAGTGGATGGTGCTCAGGGAAGAGAGAAGAGGGAAAGTGAGTTTTTAAATCCTTTCTACACATTCACTTTGAAGTTCCTCAGTCAACAGTGCTCAACCAACCATGTGAGATAAAAGTTGTGTTCAAAAAACACAGTACTCATATGCATCAGTGTATTAAAACACGAGTATTCATCGTATG